TTTTTTTGGGTTACGAAATGAATGGAATTAAATCAAAGTAGGTCAGCGATGGATGAAAGCTCTTTTGAAATGTTCACAGTTAATTTGCATAGCATGAAGCTTCATCCTTCCAAAAATGTTTGCATCTCATATGCTCCGAGCTACTCGGTGCAGAAATCCAAAGACGAACCGTTCCAGTAATTTAGCTAAGATCAAAAGAAAATTTCCACTTTAAATTTGCTCTTGTAGTTCTGCAGTAGAGACTGAGATCTAGAAATAAGATGTGTCATGGGAAAATAGTAGGCAAAAATAATAAAAGGCGTTTTTCATCTGTTCCTTGAACAGCCGTACCGCATAAAAATATCACCCTATTGACAAATCGATTTTGAACAATTATGAGAGTCCTAGCGCACACATAAATGGATTGAGAAACAGAAAATTTTATTCTAAAAACTTCTCCTGTGCATTTACCGCACCTGCGCTAGGATGATCCGAGAAAATATGCCTATCGGCGCATTCGGCCGTAGTCGAAGTTGACGTCGTTAGCGTGACGTCGACGAACACGAACAGCAGCACGGCCGTCGTCACCTGCTGCCGCATCGGACATCGACCTTCTGCTTCTTCACGTTCGCACGTCAACCTTCCACATTGACAGATATCTGAGATTAGTAGGAAATAGCTATAAGGTATACTACATGCTTCGTTATCAATTACTGAGGAGCTCTGAAAAATAAAATCATGAAGAGGTACAAGTGTTGTAAATCTCACGAATGTGAAAAATGTCATTATGCAAAAAAATCTTAAAATGAATGAGAAGTTACTAGACATTTGAGATAGATTAGCAATAAAGTGGCAACAGTGCGGACGAGGTTCTGACGGAACATGCGAGGAGTCATGAAGGACAGGAGCGCGAAATGTGGGGGTCAAAAATAACTTATATAAAATAAATAGGATAACTTACCACTTACCCCAGAATATAATCTAAAATTAACAAGCCATGCTTAATCTTCTCTTAGGTATTTTTATGGAAAGAAATATCCACTTTACCGAAATTGAAAGCAGGGAAAGAATTTCTGTTCGCTAAAATCCGATCAATGAATAGCTAATTATTGTACGCAAAAAAATGTTTTAAGTTGTAATAAGGTTAGAAATGTACTTTGACAGTTCAAGAGTTGGCATGAAGGGAGTCAAAACGTTAGACTTCAATTGTTGAATGATAAAAAGAAGGCCTAACAAAATTGCACGGCTTAAAGCATTGCAGAGTGTATGAATTTCACGCAAATGCTCCGTGTCTTCTTATAACAATGTTGGTCTTGATCTGGCGGAAATTGGGCATG